CTCTGGCATAGCCCTGCCAGAAAGAGGCCAGGGCAGGATTTGATGTCCTCGCTGACTCACAGATGGGGCAGAACCAGTCTCTTATCTGTAGGACCCAAGCTTCTAATGACTTCCATCAGAAAATAATGTGGAAGGCCCTACACAGAGATAATGTATCTTCTGGATAAAGGCTTAATTTATGTCGCTCACGGAACATGCTTGGAGGCATTTGATAAGGAACTCAAATCTGCAGGCTAAATTCCATTTTCACATTCTTTACATTTTGATAAATTGCAGACTCTGGGCACAGAATCCGCCTTGATGATGTCAACTCCCAAAGTGCCTGAACCTCTGTGTACACGAAGGAAGGAAGCAGGGATGGCTGGATGCATGCAAATGTGTTTCCAATGATCCAGTGCAGCTGTCTGAGCCACCAAATCCCAATTTTCAGGATCAGCAAATGAAAACAGAAAGAGAGGAGTTTGGTTTATATAGAACCAAGAAAAGAACCATAAAGATGGTCACACCCTGTGGCCCAGACATCCCAGTCCTGAGAATAGACCATTTTAGTCCATGTCTCCCCCAAAGCTAACTGAGACATGACTTCAGTGCCAACATTTTATTTGGGAGAGGATGCAAGAAACAGTGGTGGGGGAGGGGGGAGTACATAGCTTCAGATGAACTGATGTTTTTAATTAATCCTAGTAAATCTTTGCCCCCTGTTCAATTGAAAAGACAACATAGTAAAAAAATTCTCATGGTCCTATCACCCTAAAATATTTTCATTTGTTTGTGATTCCTTTGAATGTGTCTTGCCTTGAAGATAGAGGTTCACCCAGGCACAACCAGAGTGTATGTATAATCAGTTTCTATTGCATCCTTCCTTTTGCCACTTAACATTTAATGGTGAACCTTTTCTGTGTTGCTCTAGGGCTTTGAAATTAGCATGGTGGTAGCGGTGCCTCCTCTTTATAAGTGGACATTACTAAACCATCCCACCTCACTAGATATTTCGCGTGGTTTTTATCAATTGCTTGTCACGTGTTCAGTTTTGCTATTCTAGTCAACACTGAATATCTCTTGCACTTACCCTTTAGACTGGGCTGAGCCATCTCTGGAGGGTTGTCATAGACACTATCAATGTCCCACCTTAACGTGTCGCACTTGCCAGATAAGGTTTCTAAATGTGAGCGCCTATGGCTCTTTGCATCCCTCTGCATTCAAGGGACAGGATGGGACTGCCTGGAAGTTAATGCCTCTCAGGAGAAACTCTCATCCTTGACTGAGCAGAGCTGGTGGGCCAATCCCCCAGCTCCCTCAAAATAACCCCACAGCACATTCACATCGTCTCCAGAGTTCCCCAGCCTGTGACCATGATGGCCTAATGTCTTCCCTCCCCATTTTACTTCCCCGCTGTGCTGCTGGCCTTTCCTGGCTTCATTTCCCGAACAAACCACTTGCAGTTGAATCCTTGTCTTGGGGTCTGCTTGTGGGGAGGGCCCAAGCTTGGACCGTTCTGTTCCCACTGAGTCTGGGGTTCTTCGTTATGGCAGGAAACTCACAAGATGATGTAGCACAATGAGGCCACATGCCAGGCACTGTGCTCAACTGTGCATTTTAAATGGGAGAGTGACATGATCGGGTTTGAGTCTCAGCCAGGTTACCTGGTGGCAGCAGAGAGGTAGATTGGAGGGGTTGGGACCCATGAGCCTGCTCCCAAGAGGTACACAGTAGTGGGGGCAGTGGCTGCGGGGTAGAGGAGAGCAGGAGAGTCTGAAAGATTATTTAGGAAGTAGAAATGTGAGGACTACTATGCAGGCTATAACCTAGTACAGTTATTATTTAAATTGAAGTTTTGGTCCAGCCTCACTGATGAGCCCCTGAGGACATGGTGGAAGATTGAGGTCTTCCAGCTCATTCACCACAAAGGCACTTCCTTTTCCAACAGTAGTGCCCATAGTATTTCAGTCTCACCCATTCTGCCTCCCAAGCATGGCATATTATTAATTATTATTACTATTACTACTACTACTACTATTATTAGTATTCCTTTCTCTGTTGTTAGTCTCTGAGCTCATTGAGGTGAGGGGCTATGATTTCCCATGTTTTTTTTTGTCACCAATACCCAACATGACACTGGTCTCTGCTGTCCAGCAGGACTTTGTGGAATTAATGAATGTTCTTAAATGTGAATTGCCTAATATGTGTGATCTTTTGTTTAGTGGTAGCACTCACTCCAGGAGGCCTAGGATGGCTCTCCCACTGCCCCCTACATCCTGCTTCTGGAACAGGCCTGTGGAGAGCACAGGTTTTCTGGAGCTCACAGCCAATGCTCCTCCCTCAGGGAGGCAGCTGCCACCTTCGCTGGGACTTTACCTGTCACCTTGGACCTTGCTATATGAGATTTCCACATTATCTACTCAGCTTATCTCCCTGGCTAATTAAAGTTATCATTTAGAAGCTAACTTAATTGGAAAATTCCACAATAATTTAGATATGATAACAATATCTCTGAAAGGGAAATATTAACTCACTTTACTCAATACCTTTGTAATAGAAGATACAGAATTGCAAAATAAGGCTGTTTTTTGTAGCACAAAATGTTTCTTTTTGAATTCATCTTTTACAATACTTCTTCACTTCATGACTATTTTAAGGATGCAACACATTTTGAGGAATAAGCGGCCCCACAGGAAGGTAGTCTCCTCTTCCCGAATCCTTCCCCGAAATGATGAAGAGGACCCCACAGATCAAGTCTTCCACCCCTACCACATGTTGTAGGACCTCTGGCCCAGGGGCACAACCTCACCAAAACTCCAGTTGCTCCCTTAATAAAAAGGGGGTAACATCAGTGCCTACTAGGTCTGTGCCAGGATTAGAAGATGTGGTATATGCCAGTACAGAGCAAGGGCCACTCATGCATGAAAGCCCTTCCTTCCCCCTCCTGAAGGGAGGAGACAAAACCTTCCCACTCACCTTGGGAGCACCTGAGACCCTCCAGAGGCAGACTGAAACTCTCTATAAGACGGCTTCCCTTCACGTTCCCATTGCCTGGTTCTCTCATGCACTGGGCAGTTTTTGTCCATTTTAAGGCAGCACATGCATTATAGAAACTCTCTGTGGAACACCCACTTTTGCTCTCATATCTACTTAACCAGCAACTTGGAAAGGGGGGAGGCGTTACTACGTAGTGAGGTAGAGTATGCACTGAATAGCTGTTGACCTTGATCAAGTCCTTCCACATCTCTGAGTCTGTAAAAAGAAGGTTGCTGCCCTGACTGGTGTAGCTCAGTGTATTGAGCACGGGCCTGTGAAGCAAAGGGTCACTGGTTCGATTCCCAGTCAGGGCACATGCCTGGGTTGTGGGCCAGGTCCACAGTGGAGGACACATGAGAGGCAAGCACACATTGATGTTTCTCTCTCACTCTTTCTCCTTCCCTTCCCCTCTCTCTAAAAAAAAATAATAATAATTAATAAAATATATTTTTTTTAAAGAAGAAGGTTGCTAATGATTCCCTTGGAGGGATGTGTGGGGATTAAATGAAAGACTGTGAGACCCTTAACTTAGCATGTAACTTAGCATGTACTTGGCACAGGTCAAGTGTCCAGTGAATGGTATTTATCAGAGGCTAGAGGATGGGTCAGGAGACAGCTCCATTAGTGACAAGTCCCTTATACCACTCTTGTGTTAGTGAAGACCTAGAAAGCAGTGGTCAGGCTTCTGTGGATTCAGAGCAATGCCAGAGCTTCTTGGGGAAGAGCAGCTGCTATTGGGAACTTCCCTGCCTGGTCTCAGGAGCTGTAACCCCGGCCTTGCCTAAGGCTGAGTAAGAGACCTTTGGACCATAAGCCACTAAGGAGACAAAGCTTATCTTCCTGGCAGGAGCGCCTCTTCTGCTCCTTTTTTCATAACTGGCCCCCAATGCTTGATCAGTTAGCCAATGACAGGTAAGATTCCCCAAGGGGGGAACAGCCTAAGACAGGCATGATCATGTAGAGGCCCCAGAGAAGGACTTGGGGGGCTATAGAGAAAGGGGGTGATGGACCCTCACCCCTCAGCTTTGAGGAAGCCTGACTCCCCTGAGTTTGAGAGAAGTCTCTGAAAATTCCTTGGTTATCTGCCTCCTTTGTCTGACTTAAGCCTGAAACAATGACAGAGGGCAGTGCAGCCTTGTGCTGGAAAGGGTGGGCTCTCTGGGTGATCAGGCCTGAGAAAGGATATGTAAAATCCTGTGAAGCCTGCTTTGCTAAGAATGCTCTCAGTTAAGTGATAAAGGCCCAAGCAGGAAAGAGTTTGTTTCCCAAAGTTTTAGCTGATAGACCCTGACTCAGAAGAAGCCCTAATAGTTCTTTGCATGCTATCTATCATTTGATCCTTACTGCCTGGCAATGATTAATAAACTGTACCTGTAGTCCTGTGCAAATTAAGCCCAATGAAAGCCTGTCTAGGCAAGGGTCAGCGTGCTCTCCCCTTGAGAGAGTGGCCAGGCCACTCTGAGGTGCTCCCCGCTTGAGGGAGTAGCCATGCCATCCCTTTTCCTCCACAGGACTCAGTAGTCCATGTAAATTTATCTCATATCTCATCCATGACGCCTCAGGCACTGCAGGCCAGTGCACTCATCAAGCTGCTGCTTGTTATCTCTGTTCATAAAGAGGGAGGCTGGAGGTCCAACATGAAGGCAGTCCCATGAACCACTGCAGGGCCCCTGACCCCTTTGGGAAATTCATGTCCTTTGGGATATGCAGACTTGGCCTCCAAATAAAAAGAACATGATGGGAGCCCACAAAGGCAGAGACTGAGTCTTATTAATCACCTCTATATCCTCAGAACTTGGCATGTCATCGGTATGAATTCTAAGAAGGCACAGAATTATTTTCTTGTTTTGTTCACTGCTATATTTCCAGCATGCAGTAGATATACTCAGTAAATGTATGTTGATGAATGAATCTCTGTGAGAATGCACAAATGCTGTGCTTCCTGTAGGTTGCCTACCCCAAGCCATTCTCTCCTTTTTTCTCAGTATGGGATCCTGATATGACTCAAGTGACAACATGCTGTCCCCCGAAGAGTCTCATGACTTAGGAAATCAGGGCACCCTTGTTCCTCCTTGCCAGGAATCGGTCTGGGATGTGCATGTGCCACAGTTCAGCCAATAAGACCAAGAAAAAATTGGATTCTGGGAAAGATTTTCCTCCAGCTTAAAAGGAGAGAGACGTGAAAAGAAAATGCCTCCTTTGTTCTCATTGTATGTCCCTACTTTTACTGGGACAATTCCTGGAATGAAGGGAGTCACTCATAAACAAAACTGAACAGGCCCAAGGATGAGAAACCAGCCCTCCAAAGATGGTGATGTGGTAGATGGAACGGAGCCTGGTGAGATGACTCAGATGAGCTTCTGAGCTACCCAGGACCCCCAGATGACTCGATGTCCAAGACGAATGCACCTCTTGAGGGTTTCAGCAGATACTTACTTGGTTACTTCCAGCCAAAGCACCTTCTGTTAACTTGTTGGGCCTTCAAGATATTGTTATGGGCTGAATCATGTCCCCAACATATGAACAAGATTTGTATGTTGAATCCCTAGCCCCTGGGCCCTCAGAATGTGATTGATAATACTTTTAAGGATGTGATTAAGTTAAACAGGAGTCCGTTAGAGTGGCCCCCAATCCAATCTGACCGGTGTCCTTATAAGAAGAGGAAATCTGGATACGTGCAGATACACCAGGGATGCGTGCCCCCAGAGGGAAGACCATGTGAAGTATCCTCAGCCATCTGCCCAATAAGGAGAAAGGCCTCAGAAGAAACCGGCTCTGCCAATACCTTGAACTTGGACTTCCAGCGTCTAGAAATGTAAGTAAATAAATTTTTGTTGTTTAAGCCACCCAGTCTGTGGTATTATATTTTGCTATGGAAGCCTTACAAAACTAAGACAGATATCTATCATTGTGATTAGTATTTTATCACCATTATCAAAACATCCTTACCTTACCATATAATTGTCCCCAGGGTACATATGGGACCTAACTGAAGAGACCTTGCTTGGTTCCTCGGTATTATATAACAAGGCAACACTAACCCCAGACTGGCTCTGAGGGTTCTCCACCCATCAACACAACCACCTAATTCTTTATTCAGTAAAAATCTCGCCAAGATCCATCCTGCACTGAAGCGGTCATGGAGTGTACACTTTGAAGTCAGGCTGCCTGGCTCAGCTCCCTAATTCAACTCTTAGCTGTGTTTCCTAAGGCAAGTTGGTTACCTTCCCTGAGTTTTCTCACCTCTAGAGTAATGCTAAGAATACCCATGTTGTAGGATTATATAAGGCCAGAGCAAGCTGGTACATGCAGAGTGCTTTGCAAAGCAGTTGACTCAGAGAGTCAGCTCAAAAGTTGGGGGCTGCTGCTTTTCTGAATACTACACAAAATGGATAAGAAAGGAGAACATGGTCATGTTTCCACTTATAATTTCAATATAATTCTCCCAACAAACCCTGTGACATAGCCATTGCCATCCTGTTTTGCAGATTAAGGTGATGTTCAGAGGAATCATGTGACACGTGACAATAGTCACAGTGTTTTTAAATCGCAGGGCTGAGATCCCAACCCAGGTTTTCTGATCTCTAAAACCTGAGCTCGTTTTTTCTGCTCCAGGGCTGCTGCCCCTGGTGTTGTGATATTTTCCTGAGCCCTCGGGGTATGCCAGACATTCTCTCTTAATCCTCACAAGGATGCAGTCTTTTTGTTTTGTTTGTTTTTCCTTGTTTGAAACTAGCCCACATGCTACAGAGCTGAGGCCAGCTGCAGTGTTACTTTCCCTCCTTTTACGACCACCAAGACCGGTGTTCAGATCCAATGAAGGACGTAGCTTTCGCAACCTAGGAATAAATCATAACCCTGACATGAATACACATGTTTAGACCAGACAGCTGAATAAACTGGCAAGATATTATGGGACTTAGTGGGAAATGTAGTTCAGAGAGAAATGCCTTCTGAGAGAATGGGGAAGAATAGGGCAATAATATTGGTTGATAACTATTCAGGGCCAGGTGCCTTTGCTAGACCCTTGATCTATAATAGTGTTGAAATTTTGCCCCATTTTACAGTTAAGGAAATAGAGCCTCAAAGAGGATAAGACACACAGAAAAAGGAGGGATGTGATTCTGGTATCAACCCAAACGTGTAACATCTTCCCCTAGGCCTGTGTTCTCTGTCAATGTCTGCTGCACACAGAGAATAATCTAGAGATATTTTAAGGATGGTAAATGGCTGGGCTCCATCTTCAGGGATTCTGAATCAGTGGGTCTGGAGTGGGGCCCAACTGGGTGAATGGAATATGCAGCCAGGATGCAAGTACAGCCAGCTGCTGTCAGGACTGAGTCCTGAGCTACTGGAGCACAGTCTCCGCCCAGGCCTGACAATAATTGCACTCAGTGGCCACCCCATCTCCTTTCCTTGCTCTACCCAGAGAGAATGACTGGTTCTTTCTTTAAGCAGCATGAGTTAAGATGAGTTCATGAATGTATCACCCAATATTCATAGCAACTGAATATGGACTTTAGGCAATGGCATCACATCAAGATGCACAAATACAGGGAGACCCTAAAATCAAATTCAGGCATCGTTGCTCCCTCTTGATGGGCCAGGAAGTTGAGCCCACATTCATTTTTTTAAATGGATACATGAAATATTTTGTTTACTTATTCAAAAGAGAACTAAGAATTAAGTTGCTCTCTACATATGATTTTGCGGGGGTGGAGGGCATGGTAGGAGGCTCAGGGAACTTTATTTAAAACAAAACAAAACAGAAAACCTTTCCCATCTCTGCAGAAAAACTTCCCATGATGTACAGCAGGAATTCACACCATCAACGTGCTCTTGGCACCCCTAATTCCCTTTTTTTTTCCCCTTCAAGGCAATATGAGTACTCCTCATTGACTTCAGGTGTCTTTGATGGTCCCAATAGTCTCTCTTCTGATTACAAACCATTTCCACCTCCTGGTTGGACTTTTCCTGAACGCCTGCCAAAGCAGAATGCTCCACTAAACTCTCTCTCCAACCTCAGCCCAGCAGGAAATACGCAGCTTTTCTTGGTTAAACCAAAAGTGACATTGGAAAGGGAGAGACAATAAGAGAATTAAAATTTAACAAGAACATGCAGCTGGGAAATTGACCCTTGACCAAACATAATTAATCCTGGTGCAGCTTCCCCTTGGAATGTGAAGAAATACCAGGCCCTCAGGCTGGGGAAAGCAGAGTAGCACCAGGAGGGAGTGGGAGAGCATGAAGGAAAGGAAAGGAGGAGCCAAGGAGCAGTTGCCTTGAAGACGGAGGCGCATCTGTTTACTGTCACAGCACTCCCGCCAGGCGCCCTGTGATGGACATACTATTTGGCAGAAATAAGAAAGAACAACTGGAGCCTGTGAGGGCCAAAGTGAGAGGTGAGCATTTTGTATAAACGATTGGCTCTTCTTTCATGTTTAGATGTGTTCCTTTTTTTTTTTCCTGCTTGTTGTAAATCATTTTTGGAAAATATTATCTGGGAGAAAATGATTCATAATCCAGACACATTCTCTGTGAAAATCTAGGTGTGCTTTTATATATTATAAGTCAGTTTCCAAGGAGAGAGAGTCATTCTCACTATTTCCAGGACAAAAGTCCTGGGAATTCTGCATTTGGCATATATACAATGGGGTTATTCTGCAAAATGTGGCCCCTTCCAACTGGGTACTGTGTTTATGCAAATATGTGCATACTGAATTAATTTCAAAATGGCATGAGAAGTGGGGGTGAGTTTGTACTCCTGCAAATGCTCACTGGAGGGTACGCAGAACCGGCTGTCATTTCCTCGCAGGTACCACGGGGGTGACTTGGGCATATGAGTGCCCGCAGAGCCGGTGAAAGAGCCCCGGAGTGGGAGCCTCAGCAGGAACATTCTTCCAGTGGGCTTTGTGTCTCATTTAGTTGTCTGGCTTTCTCCTCTTCTGAGTTGCAACTTGGCTTTCTGGTACCATCTTGTTTACAGTCTACAGGATAATGACTGGGTCTGAATTCTAGGGTCCCTGGCTTGGCACTTGCTCAGTGTTCTGAGAACAGCAAGTGGGTCAGCTCAGATTCCTAGGCAAGTTCAGCTTTGGAGAGACAGACTGGATGGTTTTCTTAAGGAGAGGACAACAGTGAGCATTCTTTGTGAGGAAAGTCAGACTGGAGCTTTTTCAGCTGCGAAATTGCCTTGGAAGTTGCATAGTGCTCAATAAGTGTTCTCAGTATGTATCTATGGCATTAACTATATGCTCTGATTCACCTCTCCCTGCTCTGCTTCACCTGCTCCTTCTCCTGTGTTTTGAGTGCTTATGAATAATCCTCCCATTCACCTACTTGTCCAAGGCAAGAGACTTGGGTGGAATTGACTTTTTTGAATACTCCCCTCCTCTCCTCCCTGTATGTGGTCCAACTCTGAGTCTTAGCAGTTCTGTGTCCTCCAAGTTTCTTACCATCCTGGCTCTTCTTCCTGTCCACACATGTAATCAATATTTTTAAATTGCTAATGAAATATTTTACTTTTTTTTCATAGTCTTTGAAATCTGGTGTGTATTTTATACTTACAGCGTATCTCAGTTGGGACTAGCCATGTTTAATCGTTATGTGGGGCTGCTGGCTACCCTACTGGACAGCACAGCTCTAGAATATTCTTTCCTTATGCCCTTGTGAAGCAAGTACCTACTCTCCCTCAAGACTCATCCAAGCCTCTTCCTCCAGGAAACAGTCTTCACCCTCCTGCACTCTCCTCCCCTCAGGGTGAGGTCCACACAGCCCCCCTGGCTGAGTCTACTGCACTGCCTTTACCACAGATTATTTTGATCGTCTATCTATTCTTCCGTCTCTGTCTCTTCATGGCTGGTAAGCAATGTAAAGACACAGATGGTGCCCACTTATCTTGGTATCCTCAGTGCTAGCTCAATACCAGGTATACGGTACACTTTCTGGAAATGACATCTAGGTAAATGAATGAGTGTAGTGAGTGGTGTTGGGGCTGTGGCCTCAATTGCTTTCCATGGCCATTTCTTCTAGCTTTTTGTTTAGACATGGAACCTGGAAACTAAACATTCTTTCTCTTAACAGGCAAGATTCCAACATGGCTTCAGGGAATCCTGCTTCGCAATGGGCCTGGGATGCACACAGTGGGGGAGACCAGCTACAACCATTGGTTTGATGGCCTGGCTTTGCTCCACAGCTTCACCATCAGAGATGGTAAAGCACTCTATTAGTTTGCTATTGCCGTCGTATCAAAGGACCAATAGAAATCTAACGCATGCCACATGCGCAATTTTAAATTTACTCAGCCACATTTGTAAAAATAAAAAAAGATACAAGTGAAATTAAAACAATACAAATTAATTTTTTATTACAGTTCTGGAAATCAGGAGTCTAAAATGAGTTTCACTGAACTAAAGTCCAGGTGTTGGCAGGGCTGCTTTTCCTCTGAGGGCTCTAGAAGGTCATCCGTTTTCTTGCCTTAGCTAGCTTCTAGAAGTTGCTTGCATTCCTTGGGTTGTGTCCCCATCTCCATCTTCAAAGCCAGTGCTCACTGGCTCTCTCTGTCTCTCTGTCTTTCTGTCTCTCTCTTTTTTCTGCTTCTATAATCACATCTCTTTCTGTGATTCTAACCTTCCCATCTCCCTTTTATGAGGACCTTTGTGATTACATTGGGCCCACCCAGATAATACAGAATAATCTTCCTTCTCAGGATTCTTTATCTTAATCATACCCAGAAAGTCAGATAACAGACTCCCAGGAATTAGGGCGTGGACACCTCGGGGAGGTGATCATTCAGCCCACTATAAGCATAAACCTCCCTGGAAAGGTGGCCAAGGTGACTCTTTTTCAAAGAGTCTACCTGGCAAAATAATATGTATTCTCAATAAGGTGGGCAACAGCAGGCAGAAGGTTACAGGCTTTGCAATCAAACACACACCAAATCAAAACAGGGTGAAAACAAAACTGCAAAGAACGAAGCTGAATGTATTACTCACCAGGCAAAGGAGAGCCATGTTGCTGTTGCAGTATGTTCAGTAGGTCTCCCTTAGTGGACACTGAATATAGAGCAGAAAGTAGGAAGTGTCACAAGACGAAATTCTGAGTACATGGTAGTGGCTCAAGAAGTGGATTGTAAACTCTTTGCTGTTGACCACTGGGCTGGTGAATGTCACAGCAGCATGAGCTGAATTCTCAAAGAAGTCCAGGGTGGGTCGCATGAGGCTTGAGCAGGCTCAGGCCCACGAGGTGGGCAAATTCTTACCCAAGAGCTTGAACTTGGTGAAATTTTTCTTTAATTCCTTTATTCTAGCATGGGAAATCTGTGGTCACTTCATTTCCCTTGGCCTCATCAGTAAAAAAGAGCTTAATCATCCCCCCTGGAGGACTGTTGTGATGACTAGAAGAATGGATATCTAGCAAGGGCTGGACACCTGGGAGATGCTGGTGAATTAAAAAACACCGTTGTTGTTGCCAGGTTTGAATGCCAGCTAATCTAAGCCACATGACCTTGGCCAAGTTACTGACCCTCTCTGTGTCTCAGTATCCCATCCCTAAATTGGAGATATATTAGTAGCATATCTCACAGAGTTGCTGTGGAATTTAAAGGAATTAGTACATGTAAGTAGCCTTGTATAATGTCTGGTATTAACTATTATGTGCTCAGTAAACATTAACTATTATTTTTGCATAATTATTATTTCTTTCAAGTCAGTCACCAATTATTTTTTTGAGTGCGGGCTCTATGCTAGCAACTTGCTTAAACATTTCAGGAATGGAGATACCATGTTTTCAAAAACTTACAGATTTTACTGAAACTCAGCTACAGAGTTGGTGGTTCCATAATTCCCTGACAGGTCTAAGTCTGAATAATCTCCTTTTCTAGGCAGACGTTGCCCATGCTTCTGGGGAAAACAAATGTTCTGAATGAAGTGCACGAAAGGCAGCTTCCTTGCTGTGAGGCCCTGCTTCACCAGGCTGCCGGGCTCTTTGTGGCCGTTTCTGGTGCTCACACAAATGCTGCGTGGGAGCCGTTCTGGTCCCCTCTCTGCAGAGGCAGGAATGGAGACTTTAGAGAGGTTGAGTGGCTTCTCCAAGGTCATCAAGGGAGGGCTGAGATCTCCATCTGTGGTCTGGAGTTTACGTTTGCAGGCATCAGCCCCACCCTCACTGTAGCACACACACATGCATACATACACGTACACACCGCTGCCTGAGAAATAGTAGGTGGCTTAAATGACCCCCTCACGGCTTACCAAGCAGTAGCTCTGGCGTCCTTCCATAGAGAACCCCAGGGACAAGGGAACCAGCAGAAAAATGACTGAGCCGTGGCTGTCTTATGGAAGCATGGGATAGATAGGCAAATGACCAAAGTTATCATGTGCTATTCAGAATTTCTAAAAGTGTCTTATGGGTTTTCAAACTAAAAATTCATTGTCAAAGATAAGTAGCTATTCTGTATCCTTTTACGAAGTGGTCGGACAGGCGTGACCACAAGAGGAAACACAGGCTCAGGAAAATAAAGGTTATTATTTTTAGAGGTTCCTAGGGATGGGAGGCTCAGCACGTCATCCAAGGCCACATGGGACAACACCAGGGTGGTCAGGAAGCAGAAGTCAGGAGCAGGGGAAATGCTTAGGCCGTGGCCTTCATTGAGGTTTTAAAGGAAAGGCAAGACGGGGCAGGGTGAACTGCTTAGGAATGGCTTGTGTGAATAATTTCCGTGGTCTTTGGGCACTAGTGGTGGTCTTTAGTTGCCTGGCACCTAGCCTTGGGATGGTTAAAGCAAAAGGATATTCCTTAAAGCACAGAAAATTTTATACACATGCACAATTATATATAATTATGTGTAAGTATATAATATATATAATACACACACATACGTACAATACAGTAGCATGAAAAACTCAGTTCTGTTTACAATCTGGAACTGGCTGCAAAAGGGAAAGTATGGAGAGTATACCCAATTACTTACGCTTCCCCTCTCCTGCTCTTGACTTTGGTCATGTGTTGAGGGTGCAAGCCCCACCCTGCTTTGCAGTGATCAGTTTGCCATTCTCCAGCATAGGGTGGGAGGCCCCTGAGTTTAGGGCTCCTGTTCAAAGTGCTGTATCTTCATCAATTAGCATGGGGCCTGGCGCAGAGGGGCACTCTGAAACTCTTTATGGAGCTGAAATGACATGGAAAAAGTAAAAATTGTTTTTGTAGAAGGAAGCAACACCTTCCCAGCCCAAGTCTTCAATACTCACTACAGGAAGTGTTTGTTGGCCATTGGCTTCATGCCCATTCACATCTCAGCCCTTTCTATAGTTCCTGAAGTAGGTACCACTGTTACTATCTTGATTTTACAGATGAGAGTCTGAGGCCCAGAGAAGCCAAGGTATTTGTCCAAATGACCACAGCTAAGAAGTGGTGGTGTTCATATATAAACCCAATACTCTCCAAATCCAGAATCCCAATTCTTAATCATCATGCACTTCTGCCCCCATTACCCCATCCTGCCAGCTACCATCTGCCCCCATCCCCCCAGCCCAGTTCTCTGGAGGCCGCCAGGTTGTCGATGTTGGTGTGGCACAGCCTGGCCTCATCTCTCCTCTAGAACTCTCGGTGGCTTCCCATTGTCTAACAACAGAAACCAAACATGTGAAGTACGACTATATATGAATCAAGGGGGCATGCAGAGGGCAAGCAGGGTTCTCGAATTTGCAGAGAACACAAAGTATTTCCCAAAAGGTGGTTTTGTGAGCCCCCTAAACTGGAATCCCCTAAAACGCTAATTAAGGCTGCAAATTCATGCACACATGCACACACACAGGGCTTGAATAAATTATAATCCTGAAAAAATAAAGACAGAGCATTTAAGTTCTTAGCATGGTTCCAATCTGACCCTGTGCACATGAGGTCTGAAAAGCCCCCCACGGAGGACCTCCAGCCTGGCTGCCCCATCCCACCCGAGACCCAGCATATCAGGCCACTTTGAAATGGGGCTTAGGCCACTATAATAAAAGCGCCAGGCACCTAGAGTATACAGCCAGCACAGAGAACCTAGGTAGTGCTGAACCAGTAAGACTTCGGAGCAAGAAAGCAAAAAGACAAAAAAAAAAAGTCTGGTGGTCTTCAGCTGAGGCCAGAAAACTGATGCTTTAAAAAACTAGCAAAGATTTGAATAAAAGAGTCAGAGTGAAGCCAGGGAAGCTGGGAGTATACAGAAGAGCTCTTTTGTGTAAGTCTAACGTGATTTTAAAATAAAACATTTTTTATAAAGTAGGTCTGGAGGTGCATGAACCTCAGAAATAAATTCAACAATTTTCTAATAGAAGGAGAAGTTGCTGTCCCATGAGGATTTGAATGTGTAAATTCCAAGACCCAGAGTTGCCAAGATTTACAGAAAAAAAGAGCTCTTGAGAATTTAGCCTTTCCAAAGCTTTTTCAGTTGGTACAGCTCCAAAGTGGCCTTTTGGAATGTTAGCTTTAAAAATGTGTGTAAGTAACACATACACATGTATATTCATATATATATATATATATATATATATATATATATATATATATATATATATATATATATATATATATGCTATTATGTGTGTGTGTGTGTGTATGCATCCCCATCAGACCCAGTTCTAGAAGATTGCAGGCAAGAGTGTGTTTACTTGTGTTCCTTTATAAGGAGTGTGGCTAATCGGACTCCCCCAGGAGCAGGGTGGTAGGGAATGTGAAGTGGCTCCTTCTTTAATCTTAGCCTCAAAGTGAAGTGTCAGCCTTGAGCAATTCCAGAGACACATTTTGTTGTGGCCCCAAGTGCTCCGTGCTCTGCGGCTGGTTGTTTATAGGAAATGGCCGCCTGTCTACAGCCAGGCTGGGCTGGGTGTTTACATTTCAAGTGAACAGAATTCATCATTTTAAGAAAACCACCACAGGGCCCAAAGCACCTTAGCCAGTGCCTGCGGGTGGTGACTCTCAGAGAAAGTGGCTGGAAAGGAACATGCCAGCTCACGGGGAGACCAGTGTTTCCCTAGAGCATGTTCTGTGTGTGGAGGCCAGTGTGTGTAGCCTCACCAATACCTGCGTGATCCTTCCTGCCTCCAGGATTTTGTGGGACAATCCACAATTGCAGCAGCCATCACTTATCAGTATGTGGCAATGGCCCAAAGTCTTGCCCACTCTATCCTGCATCTCAATAGCATATGTAGCTTTTATTGAGCATCTACTATGTGCTAAGTGCTTTGCAGGCCTTGAATGCCACAGCAACTCTGTAAGAAAGGTGTCATGATCCTGACATCCCAGTAGAGGGGACTGATCCTGCATGTGACACACAGTCAAGTGCATGCCTGGTAGATGATGGAGCAAAGATTCATATCCATGTGGAAACTTGAATCTCCTCACCAGGACAGTTCACGCCTGTGCTGCCCACCCTGATATCCCCCAGTAAAACCCCTGGAATGGCTGAAATTGACACTCACGCCTGTTGTAAAGGTGTCGATGCTTCTACACCTCAATGACTCTGCTTCTTCTCTTTCAGGTGAAGTCTATTACAGGAGCAAATACCTGAGGAGTGACACTTACAACGCCAATATCGAGGCAAACAGGATTGTGGTGTCAGAGTTTGGAACAATGGCCTATCCAGACCCATGCAAAAACATATTTTCCAAGTAACTGTCTCTTTTGAATCCAGTCATGCTTGTTTGTATCCTCAATGCTAAAAACAACCAGTGTGTGCTCCTCCGACAGCTGTCCTCAGGGTGGACAGAAAGTTTGTGTGACTGGCCTTTGCCTGTGCACCCCATGCATTTCTTGATCACCAGTAGCAAGAGAGGCAAAGAGCATCTGACAGATTATTAGGCATTCTCCCACAGGGCTGGTGGGAGCAATTTTGATAGAGAATTTGGAATTCGCTATCAAAGTTACAAATATGCATTTCCTTCAGCCTAGAGGTTTACTTGTTCATGCTGAAATGGCAAATGAACAAGGTTGTTCGTGGCTGCATGATTTCTTATCATGAAGAACTGAAAATAACCCGATGTTCATCCACAGAGGAGCAGTTAAATAAGTAACAGTAAACCTACACAGGAAAATACCTGGCAGAAGTAAAAAGGAAAGAGGATGTTTTCTATGTACCAAATGGAAGAATTTCCGAGATATATTAAGTTAAAAAAATCAGGGTATAAAAAGAACAAATAATGCGCTATATTTTGTGTAAAAAGACAGGAGGAAATCTGCATTTATTTCTGCATGTATGTGCGTAAGGAACTCCGGAAGGAGTCATCGAGGAGGTGGGAAACTGACAAATGGGAGAAAGGACCGGGGAAGACTTTTAGTTGTGTTCATTTAAAGTCATCTGGGCTATGATGCATGTGAGTGTATTACATATTTGGCAAATTAAATGGTTGGCCACGGAATCAGGCCCACCTTCAGTATCTCCTTCCTGATACTCTTTAGACATAGAAGAGTTATGAAATGTGTTAGGGGCGGACGAGCCCAGAGAGGAAGATTACTTCTGCTTTTCCAGGAACTCCTTGGAATTCACATTTGCAGATTGAGGAAGAGCCAGGGAGGAAAAGGGAAGGGGAGGGAATGAATTTAAAACCATAACCTTTGAGGCATTATTACTGTTACATCACTTGCCAGTGAGGGGAACACTAATCAATACACAGATCCAGGGCTTTTTTTTCCCCCTGATTTGAGTTTGCCTTCTGATCAAATGAGTTATAGGTGCTTATATCAAAATTAGTTTGCTTTTTTTCATTTAAAAAACTCATTTCCTGGACAAATTTGAGGTAACCAGTGTAGACTCATATTCCTGCCAAAAGCAAGGATTTTGCTAGTCTTTGGGGGCCATTATGGATAAATGTATGATTTCTGTAGAGCTTCTTAAAATTCTTCAGAACAACCCCCCAGCTCTTTCTGGCTTTGGTGCTGGAGACCTGTGGATTTTTGAGAGGCCAGGAGAGCTCAGTTGGTGGTCATGTTGTCCCAGCTGATTGTCACTCCTCAGTTGATTCAATATGGTGGCACCTTTGGACACTTGACATCTGAGTCCTCAAGTAACCCATTGGGACCCAGTACTTTTTCTTCCTTACGTTGAAGGAGAGCATCTTAAGTGGTAGGAAAACTAAAAGCACCGCAAACAGAATTTCCCGGTTGCGCAGACACAACCATTGACCCGTTGGTTTGCTGTCTTCCCCAGAGCTTTCTCCTACCTGTCCCACACCATCCCAGACTTCACAGACAACTGCCTGATTAATATCATCAAGTGTGGACAAGACTTCTACGCAACCACAGAGACCAATTACCTCAGGAAAATCGACCCACAGACTCTGGAGACTCTGGAAAAGGTATCAGCAAATCTACACCCAGCGTCAGTTTTTGACTCAAGACAGGACCCCCTGGGTGAGGCCACTGGCTCTGTGCTTCCCCAGCGTAGCACTCGTACCAGCATCTAAGCTCCCTGAGGACTGGGACTGTCTTTTCATCTTTGTGTCTGTATTCACTCCTAGCTACCATAACAAGTACCACAAACTAGGTGGCTTAAAACAACAGGAATTTATTTTCTCGCAGTTCTGGGGCCTGAAAGTGTCAAATCAAGGTGTCAGGAAGGTCGTGCTCTCTCCGAAGGAAGACAATGTTTTCTAGTATAGGAACATTCTTTGCCTCTTCCACCTTCTGGTGGTTTTGCCATCAATCCTTGGTGTTCTTTGACTGATACATGGATACATCACTCCAATCTCTTCTAAGGATATAAATCATTGGATGAAGGCCCACCCTAATCTAGCAGGACTTTATTCTAACTTAATTACATCCACAAAGGCCCTAAATCCACATACAGTTACCAGGAGTTAAGACTTCAACATGTCTTTTTAGAAGACACACTGTAATCCACACCTCGGCTCTGAGTGTGGTCCATAGTCCTCGGCTCTGAGTGGCAGCTCAGTGAGAGTCTGCATGGCTGTGCCTGGGACTCCCAGTGGCCTTACCTTGCATTGACCTGAAGAGGGAGGCATGAGGCAGAGAGCAAGAGCACAGAAGTAAATGCCCAAACACATACCTTTCCTGGGCAGAATTAAGTCAACATTTTTGTGAAAGTCAACAGACCCACTTTCAGTTTTCTCCAGCTGGCTGTTCAAAGTCTCAGTGTCTTTGTAATAGATTTTAATGATCTATTAAAAGGAGTGTTTTTCTCAGCTGTGAAATTATGTACAGCTCCTTTTAAGCTAGGTGGCATAGGTCCAGCTGATGTTGCAGGGAGGAAATTCCACAAAGTTGCAGGGAGGAAATACTAGGAGGGAATGGCGTATTGGTCAACTTTCGGCTGGAGGTTGTGCTATTCTGGGGGAGGAAGGGCAGACAGCTGGTTCCCCATTGTTCTATCGCTGTGGCTTGTTCAGAGTGGGGTCATTATTGAGCTTACTACTTGGATTTCACTTTGACCAAATGTTTTTGTAACCTCTCCATTCCCAGAATAATTCTATGAAAAAGACCTGGAGCATTCTGCCTATGTGGAATGCAAAAGCGGAAGATTTAAATGACTTGAGCAGAATGACACAGAGCAGTGGCCAAGATTAGCACTATGGCTGCCTCTTTGCACAGGCCATTGCTTAGAGCTCTCTGTGGGGAGGTGTCCGGTCTCCACTTTGAGGGCCTCCAGCAGGGCCAGGCTCTAGGCTCAAAAAAAACTGCCACAGAAAACACACAGCTCACTAACCTCCCTGCCACCTATTTGCTGTAGGAGGTCCCCCATGAGGTTAGATCAGGTCTCCAGAGTGAACATTCTCTTTAGAGGTGAAGTCTGCCTTCCTTTCAGATCAGAAAATGTGCAAAAATAGCCATCATTTCTCCGAACTGAGAATCAATCAGCTTTTCACAGGATTTCAACTTCAACTTCTCCCCTTTTTAAAACCAGGTGCCTGTTATATTTTGCAGGTTGATTATCGAAAATATGTGACTATAAATCTGGCAACAGCGCATCCCCATTATGATTCGGCTGGAAATGTTCTCAACATGGGCACCTCCATTGTGGACAAAGGGAAGACGAAATACGTGATCTTTAAGATCCCTGCCGCAGTACCGGGTAGGTCATTCTGCGGGTGTAATGAGGCCCAGACACCAGGGGCGGCTCCCTCTGAGGAGTTCTGACTTTCCTTGATGCCGCCGGCTCAGTCTGATACTTTCTCTCCCAGATGAATCAGGTGACCCTGAATTCATTTTTCTTCTTTAGGAGAAAAGAGATGTTGCTGGGCTTCTTTTTGGAAGCAGTGAAGCCCTTTACTCTTCTAACCTCCTTTCCTGGATGTTACAGTTCATTACTTCATTAATTTATTCATTATTTATCCATTGTTCATCCATCATCTATCCATCCATTCATTTGTCATCCCCTGTTTCTGCCTTCCCGCCTTCTTGTCATTTTTCCAGTCTTCAGACAGACCTTTGCATGTCAGGGCTGTGCCCCCCACTTTCATCCCAGCCCCCGGAAGCCAGGCTCCCAGGGTAGTGCCCAGAGCTCAGCCCTGCTGGGATCAACTCCAGATCTCCACCCTGTTCTCCAGGCCTCCTGGACCTTCTCCACTTAGCACTGAGATCCTGGAGGGAAGCCCAGGACAATTTGTGGGGAGGGAAGGTGGGGCTCCTAGTCCAGGGCCCTCGTTGAAAGCATACCCAGGAGACCCAGCCTGTGATGGTGGCTGGAGACCAGACACCAATATAAGGGTGCTTGGCCTGACCTCCTGGTTTGGGAAAACTGGTTTCCATCTGCGATCCCTGCTGCTCCCCCTCCCCCCCCAGTCCTGTAGACCCTCCTGAGCAAATTACCCAGCTCTGCTGGCAAATGTGAGCAAGCCCCTGATGTCAGAAGGTGCACTGAGTATTCTCATTAAAGCCAATAAAGGGATGTAGGGTCTAGCTTAGGATTCTAGAATGTCAGACCTGGGGATAGTTCAGGCGTTTGAGTTTACCACTTCATATTAGAGAGAACTGTGAGGCCCAGGGCATCGGGCGACATGCCCCAGGTCACACAGCTTACAGGAGCCATCAGCATCAAGCAAGCGGCTACCTACCCTCTGAGTGCCTGCTCCACGCTGGTGGCTCCCCTGGGATCATGCACATCTCCTGCCTGCCAGACCAGGGTGCTTTGCACTTCAGTTTGCTGTGCGCTGTATTTGTTTCACAAAAAGGAAGTAACCCACAACCCACAGCCTCCCTCCCACCAGCCAGCTGTTCACAATGTGCACCAGGTGGTCACAAGGAAGGCAGAGGTACTTGCAGACAACTCATTAGACACCAGCCCCAGGCCTGGGAGGGGAGGCCTTGTGGCCTGTAGATGACTCATCCTTGCAGAGAACCAAGAAAACCGAACACGTACTGAGCACCTTCCATGTTCGGGCACTGGGTGAGGCAGTTGGACTACTCCATTACTTCACTCTGCCTGCCTTGATGGTCACAGTCTGTGTAACAGCCCGCCGTCATCGCGGGCACTTAGTCTCATTCTCAGGTGTTCCAGAAGGGCAACGCCAGGAGAATTCATGGAGACCCTCTGAAGTTCAGGTCTGCATTAGAAAAACTCCAGTTTTCCCTCCTATGTTTCTCTCCTGAGTGTCTCCTTGACACTCTCAACACTTCTGACACTGGCTGGGGGAGAGGGGAGTGGTTTCCCCCATAAGCAATTCTCTGCGACAGCTGCTGGTGTCCAATAACTGACCTCAGTTGTCAGGCGGTCAATCCACTCGATGGTGTCAGACCCCACAGGTTCAGGGCTCAGCCCCACGAGACTGCTCCTACCGCCAACCCCCTACTCCACTTCAGGTGCCAGTCGCATGTAGTAGGTCCCCAGGTTACTCCCCACTTTGGTCTGACTTGGCTGTACATCGGGGGTTCCCACCACCCGCTCCTCAGTTTCAATTAATTTGCTAGAGCAGCTCACAGAACTCCCGGAAGTGTGCTTACCGGTTTATGGAAGGACATGGCAAAGGATACAGGTGAACAGCCAGGTGAAGAGATGTGGAGGGCAGGGTCCGGGCGGTTCGGGTGCACAGAGGCCTCGGTCCCTACGGAGTTGGGGTGCATCCCCTCCCAGTGTGGATGTGTTTGCCCACTGATAAGCTCTCTGAACCCTATACTTTTGGGATTCTAAGGAGGCTTTCTTACATAAACATGATTAATTATTAACTCCATTTCCAGCCCTTCTCTCTTCTCTGGCGGACACTGGGTGGGGCTGAAAAATCCCAAGCTTGTAATCATGGCTTGGTCTTTCTGGAGACAGCCCCCGTACAGGAGCCATCCAGAGTCACCTCATTAGAACAAAAGGTGCTCCTAGAGCTCCTATCGTGTAGGAGTTTACGAAGGTTTTAAGAGCTCCGTGTCAGGGATTGGGTCAATATTAGAATAAGAGTTGTCCCTAGAGCTCTTATCACTTGCAAAATCGTATAGGTTTTAGGAGTTTTGTGGCAGGAACTGAGGCAGAGGCCAATCTATATTGATATTTTTCCACTAACTCACAACGTCAGATGATGGTCCTAAGTAACCTGTCAGAGCATAAGCCTGGGCCAGCTTGACAGGACCTCAGGCCCCAGCCCGCATGCTGAGTCCAACTCCACATATTACCATGGTGTTCAGATGCTCTGCACGCACGTTCAAGTTTGAGAAGCATTGCTTCAGAGCAGGGGTCGAGAAACTTCCTGTAAAGGACCTGAGAGTCAATGTTTGAGGCTTCGCAGATATGTAGTCTCTGTCCCAACTACTCAACAGGGTTGTTGTAACTCAAAAGCAAAAGCAGCTGTGGACCCTGCATGAAGGCGGGAGCTTGGCTGTGTTTCAAATACACCCTTATCCAAAAGCAGTTGGAGGCTGAGTTAGCCCCCAGGCGGTGGTTGTGGACCTAGGCCCAGAGGCCTGACTGTGGGGTTCAGTGTTCTCAGATTGCAGAACCGGGTCTCCGCAGGGTGAGCCTGAGCAGGGAGGGCTCTGAGCCTCGGCCCCTGCGTCAGCTAGACAGCGACTCCTTCATCTGCTTTATTGTGTCAGCTCTTATTCAAAGGTTCTTCTTAGTGACCAGGTCAGTTTGAGAGGCCCAGCTGCAGGTGGTGGCGGTGCAGTCGGCCTGGGGTGGCCAAGCCCTGCACTGTGCCTGAGCCTTGCTTTTCTCTAGACAGGACGAAGGGGAAGAGCCCCTTGAAGCACACGGAGGTGCTCTGCTCCATCCACTCCCGCTCCCTTCTCAACCCAAGCTACTACCATAGCTTCGGGATCACCGAGAACTACATCGTTTTTCTTGAGCAGCCCTTCAAGTTGGATATTCTAAAGCTGGCAACTGCATACATCCGAGGAGTGAACTGGGCTTCTTGCTTAACTTTCCACAAGGAGGAAAAGGTAAGCCCTGCTGGGCCCTCCAGCCCTGCTGTGCCTGAGGAACCACAACACCGGACAGCCAGAGCCAGGTGTCCCGGGTATGGACGCTGAGACGGAGTTCAGCCTGGAGGAGGTTTCTTAGGAAAGGAGGAAGTAGGCTACCATATAGTCTCCCCAGTGGGGTCAACCAACCTCCCAGAGGGCTCTGAGTTGGGATGGCCCTTCAGAATGGTCTCGAGTTAGGGCACCTAACTGGGCCTTTATGCCCCCCATCAGTGGGTCAGTGGAGAGGACTGTCCCAAAAGGGTGTGCGACCTTGAACAAGGTAGCCTCACCAACCAAGGCAGTCCCCACTCACCCCAGTCCTAACCAATATCTGGGCTCCTCCAGCCTCCACTGTTCATTGACAAGGCCTTTCAGCATCCCTGCGGCCACTGTGTCCCGTCAGGGACGGGGCCAGAGTTTATTCAGACACGAAGATGGAGTGTTCCACCAGCTGGTATGACAGAAATGCCTTCAGTGTAGGTGCACCCGGGGGTGTAGAGTATGTATGTGTGTGTCCATGCATGTATGATGTCCGGATCTGTGTCTTCACATGTGCATGTGTGTACGGCTGTATGTACATATGTGTGTGCTGCTGTTACTCGTGAAATACATCAAGTAAGTCTCAAACATACAAGTATAGAAAGCGACATGTCAAGTCTCCTTCCCATGTCCCATCCTGTCTCTTCCCTCCTCATCCACTGCCATCTCCAGAGAGAGCTACCACTATCCGTTTGACATCCTTCTGCTCCTCCTTCTATGCACCATGTACTTCTTTATGTGCATATACAAATTTGTGTCCCACTGCCCCTTTAAGGCTAATGCTCTCTTCTCAGGGAGGGGAGTGAAGTGTTTGAGGAAACAAAGAGGCTGGTTAGGTGTGGCCCCTCCTCGGCTGAGACCTTCCAGTTATTTTCCATCTTCCTTGGAATAAGACCCAAAGGCCTCACTCATTAGCCCGTAAATCCCCACATGCCCTCATCCCAACCATTGTCTTCCTGCTCACTTCACCTCCCCCTGCACCTCCTCAAACCAGCCCCACACATCCCTGCCTCAGGGCTTTGCCCATTCTGTCCCCTGGAATGTCCTTCCCCACATGGCTTCCTACCTCAACTACTCTAGGTCTCAGCTCAAGCCCCCTGACCCTGAGGCCTTCCTTGATGCACCCATGTATTACAGACCCTTCCCCAGGCTTCCTCCATCCCTATCCTGCTTCATTTTCCTCAGCAGTGCTCATCATCCTTGACATATTACATATCTGATCATTGGCTATTAGACTCACCCCCTCTGGAATATAAGCCCAGGAAAGAAGAGGCTTGGCTTTATTTTGTCTCTCTAGTTCCTGGAAAAGTATTTGACATGTCGTAGGCCCTCTACAAATATTTGTGGAATGAATGAGTGGGAGCAAGAGAGCAGCAGGGAAGTCAGCGGAAGTTGGGTTTGTTCCGCAGCCAAATTCCCCATACACGCTGAGGAGTATCCCACTGGCAGGAGCTTCCGGGCCCTCTAAGCCTCCAATCCGAGGTTCCTGGGTCTGGAGGGCAGGGCAGAGAGCCCTGGGAGGGGCTTTGGAATGCATTTCAGAGAGAACTTTCTGCAAGTCCCTGTGGCTGACCCAGGGATTGGAATCCTGGGGAAGAAAAGGCCTAAAATAATTACCCCTGTGCTTACCTCCCATAATGACTCCCACCGCCATGCTATCAGAGCTCTCCTCCTCTGCACCCTGCTTACTATTCAAAGCTTGATTCCGGGGAAGGTGAGAAAGAAGCAAACAAGCACGGAGGAGGGTGGTTGGGCCAGAGCTGCCAACAGATAGAAACAACTCCCTCCCTCTGGATTAGGCAACTGGGGCTACAGATACGGCTAATTACCACCCAGAGTGATACCACCTCATGACACCCAGAGTGTGTACAGCAGCCTCAGAACTGATACCCGTGTGGGCTCCTTAAGTAGAACCAGGTCACTCAGCCCTCCAGGGCAGGGGTGTTGCTGTGACAACCATATCCCTGCAGCAGGCTCTGTACTGGAGATTAGAGAGGGGGATCCAAAAGGGCAGGTATGGTCTCTGAGTTTAGGGTCTCTGGCTGTGCACACACTCTGGCTGGGAGCTGGACGGAGTCTGGGGCAGCCTAGAGTTCTGGCACCTGGCCAGTTCTTTCCAGCTTGGCCATTTCCAGGGAGCTGGCATGTTGCTGCCCATCCAGAATCATAATCAGGTGAAGGAGGGGAAACAGTGCACCCTCTGGGGCCTCCCCCAAACACTGTGCTCCTGGTGATGCAGCAGCCCTGGCCCACAAACTTCCTTCCTCTCCATCAGAAAGAGATGAACAAAGCCCTGGCTGGTGTAGCTTAGTGGATTGAGCATGAGCTGCAAACCAAAGGGTTGCCAGTTCAATTCCCAGTTGGGGCACATGCCTGGGTTGCTGGCCAGGTCCCCAGTATGGGGTGCGTAAGAAGCAACCACACATTGATATTTTGCTCCGTCTCTCTCCTCCTCTTCCCCTCTCTCTAAAAATGAATAAATAAAACCTTCTTTTTTTTTAAAAAAAGAAAGAGATGAACAGGAACACACAACTGAGAGCCCCTGCTCGGTCCTTTTGTGCATCTGGCACTCTGGAGGCGGGGCACAGAGGCTTGGAACAGGGAGGGAGGGATGCTGCAGGGTGAGCCAGCGCGTGGCAGGGGTGGTCTCGTCCCCTACCTGATGCCGCGGCGCTGGGCCAGCAGAGGGACAGCTGACCACTGGATGCACATTTTCTTTCAGACTTACATTCACATTGTTGACCAAAGGACTGGGAAGCCCGTGTCCACCAAGTTTTACACGGACCCTATGGTGGTCTTTCACCACGTCAATGCGTACGAGGAGGACGGCTGCCTCCTGTTTGATGTCATTGCCTATGAGGACAGCAGCCTCTACCAGTGTTTCTACCTGGCCCACTTAAGGGAAAACTCTGAAGAGAATTCCAAGCTCACGTGTGTACCCGCCCTCAAGAGGTTCGCTGTGCCCCTCTGCGTGAACAAGGTAATGGCTTGAAGGAGAGCCCATTTTATTCCTGGGGACACAGGAGCCCAGCTGGGAAATGGCTGTGGCCCCGATCTGATGGACTTTGAAATCCAAAATGAGCTGTTCTTAAAAAAAAGACAGAAAACATTTTCATTATTTCCCCAAAAGTAGTAGATAGTTGTAGTAGAAACTTTAGAAAATATGGATTAAGTCAAAAGGAAAGAAATCCCCCATAAACTCATCATAGATATGTTTGTGTTACCCTCCAAGGCTCTCTCTCTCTCCATAGATAACTAGGTAGCAAGACAGATAGACACACTGATACATATACACGCACGTAATTGATATGTGTATACAGTATATGTATGTTATACATACATATTGATATATATCTCAATAAAGTGGTTAAAATTACATACAATGTGATTTGCTGTTCCCGATCATGCTGTACATAATTTTTAACTGTTTTATTGAGATATAATTCACATGCCATGTAATTCACCAATTTTCCCCCATTTTCACTTAATGGCTTTTAGTGTATTCACAAACTTGTAAAACTATCTCCACAATCAATTTTAAAACATGATCATTACCCTCAAAAGAAATCTCACACCTTCTGACCCTCACCCCACCCCCAGTCCCAGGCAACCATCACTCCACTTGGTCTCTGAGGATTTGCCTTCCCGGGCATTTCACAGGAAGCGACTATACACTACATGGCTGCTTGTGTCTGGCTTCTTTCACCCGGCACCACGAGTTTGAGGTTCATCTGTGCTGTAGTGTAAATCAGAACTTCATTCCTTTTCCCCACCTGTCAGTATACCAAACATCTTTCCAAGACGTTACATGCTCTTCTACAACATCATTTTGATGCAATACTTTCCTGACAGCCCGTGGCAGAGGTTCAGCAGCACTTGCTTACCCAACGCCCTGTTGTTGAATAGTCCCGTTCTTGCATTAAAAATGACCACTAGGTCAGATGCTATCTTCAATTGGGGCGATGCTGCCAAGGCTCTGGGCTTGGTTTTGGAGGCTACAGAGGCTTCTGGCACCAGAACTCACTGACTTCATGACTTAATTAATTTAAATGAAACCAAATTTAATTCAATTCAATTTTGATGGCTCATATTTACTAAATGTACTCTATGTGCCAGGTACTTTGCTAAGCGTTTTATTTTCCTTACTTCACTTAACAATGCAAACAACTTGTGGGAGAGGTCCTTACATTAGACTCATCTCACAGATAAAGAAACTGAGACTCGGAGAGTTTAAGGAGTGTGCCCAAGGTCACACAGCCCAGAACTGCAGAGCCAGGATAGTTATGTGCACCAGCCTGCCTCTAAACCCATCCTTGTAGCTTTAAGAGGTATAACCCCGCTGTTCTCCCCAGCACCCTAACTCCTGGAAAGGACTCTCAGGGCTCTGCGAGCCTGGGGGGTAGAGGGCATCGCACAGTGCCCAGGGAGCCTTCTCCCACCCTCACTGCCGGGCTCCTCAGTGCTGGGCTCCGGGCACCTCCCAGCCAGTGAGCGGGACTGCCTTTAAACACTAGGGCTGTTTATTGTCCCTGTCTCTCCAGCATCTCCCCATCCAAAGTCACCTGTGTGTCTCTGTCACGATTTTTACATTTTCCATAACTTCTATTTAACACTTACAAAATCATGTTTGGTTTAAATCAGCTCACTGTTGAAAGGAAACCTGCCACTACCCAGTGGAAAGCCAGCCTTTCCAGCTGCAAATAAAAGGCAAGCATGAGCATTAACAAAATGGAAATAAAGCAAAGGTCTTAAGGTCTAGCCAGATACTGTTGCTTGCCAAGACTTAATCTCTTTGTTAATAAGAAACTTCTAAAATGTAGTAGCTATTAAAGACACAGTGGCACCTAGCTGAGACTTGCTCCTTGACCCTGTGGGAAGGAAAGCTTGGAAGAAAACAAGGAATTAACTTTCTCCCCAGGTCATTCAGGGCTATTGAGTGAACGGCCCCTGTCCCACATAAGCATCACATGAGCCACCACCCTGTGTGGCCCTCACTCTGCACAGTGCCTCAGTGCAGGGCCTCGGACCACCTCGCCTGGTTCCAGGAAGGAGTGGGGGTGTCACAGAGCACACAGGCGCCCAAATCCCAAGGCCCAGCCCCCACCTCAAGTCGCCCTCAGCCCAGGGATGATACATAGAGAGGAAAGACTCCCTCCTGCTGCCCACGCACCATGGGATTTTATAACCTTTTATCACGCTTGAAAATGATTTGCTTCCTTGGAACCAAGCTAAGAAGTTTAGCATGTATATTTTTAAAAGGCGCTGTGTGAGCCATCTGTTGCTTTGAAACTAGCAAAGAAGAGTGAGCCCTGGGAAGGGTAGCTCTGGCCACGCTTTCTAATTGCTATTTATTGTCCCTTAAAAATGTCTTCTCCCTTCACTTGCAAGTTGCCCCGCCTGCATATTGAAATCAAAAAGTCAAGCATGAGGACATGGCCTATATGCCCAGATCAGCAGCTCTAATTTCATTATATTCAAAGCTTATTGGAGAAGAACCACAGGAGCTGCCACTCTTTGTCAAATGCCCTTCAGTCTGGGGCATTTGCACTTCCCCGTCCCTCTGCCTGCAACCCTATTCTCTTCCCATCAGACCTCCACTCCAGTCCTGGTTGCAGGACTTCCCTGGGGCCTCCTGCTGGGACTCAGCCCAGGATGGTGCAGGCAGAACCCCCGGAGGTGGGGTCCAGGTGTGGGCTTGGTTTCAGGGCCCCCAGTGGATTCTAATTCACAGCCAGGAAGCAAATTCCTGGTCCTCCTGAACGTGTCAGGGTCTTTACTCCCCTCAGATGAGTTCATGCACTCTAAGGGCACCTGCAGCTCTTTACCCAACATTTGTCTCAAGTATAATGAGCTTGCTCTGTCACCTCTTCCTGAGGAATGGGGCTCTGAGAGGACCCCAACTCTGTCTGGTCAGCAGTTTATCCCCTGCACCCATCACAGCATCCAGCACTCTGCAGGTTCTCATTAAGTTCTAAAGTATTTTAAATAAACGAATGATGAATGAATGAATGAATGAATGAAGCAAGGTCTCCGAAAGGGCACTAGGTCTTTAGCATTTGGAACATTTCCCAAGTGGAAAGTGTTTTCCGTGTAGAATGGGCAATGCGGGAGTCTATTCAACAGTCTGGGACCTCCCAGCTGCCCCAGATTCTCTGGTGTCCAGGCTGGCTGGGGTCAAAGGAAGGAGGGGCCCCTCGGCACCCTTGGCCTGGTTATGTAGGGTGGCACGGGGGCTGTTGAAGGCAGAGCTGGGCCGGGAGGGGTGTGGGTGTGGGCAGGCAGTCCCTGACGGTGCCCTGCCCTTGTCCTGCAGGTGGGTTCATAAGCACAGACTTCCTTCCTGACAGCCATCCATACATAAGGGGCCGTCACGGGCAGGGAGTGGGTGGAAGGTAAGCTGCTTGGACTTGAAGCGCGGTTCCAACTCCTAGCTCAGTAGATTTGGTTTTTATCTTTTCTCCAATCCAAAAATGACCCAGTGTCATACAAGCAGCCACCATGAGAGCTGTCTGTATGCCAGGCCCTGTGTTAAGATGCCTTTTCTGCTTTAGACCCCAGCCAGAGGGGCCCCTGCTCTGGCACTTTGGAGGCCCTGATCTGGCCTTTCTCTAGCGGTGTCCCTTCTCCCCAGGGTGAGGAGTTCAAAGGGCTCCAGGGTCAGGCCCACCCAGAGGGACACCCTCCCCGACCCCAACCATGAACTGGCTGTCCAGGACCCCAGAATTTCCTGCCCAAACAGCCCAGGCCTGCACGCAGCACCTGCCCCTGTCCCCCTTAGGGCCCACGAGGCTGCCAGAGCTAGCTGTTGGCTTGGTATGCTGGCTGGACCATCCATTCAGCGGGAAGAAAAGGGCAGCGACAGAGCTCAGGCTGAGAGACTGGCCCTCGCTCTGCTACCCCAGTCCAGATCCGGACATGAAGGGGTCCTAGACTCCTAAATTCACATTTGTCCTTCCAGACCAGCATTATGCAATAGAATCTAATGCAACGAGGGAACATTATCTGTCTGTCTATCCAATACAGTAGCCACTAGCCACATGTGCAGTTGACATGTAGCCATTGCAGCTGAGAAACTGAATTTTAAATTTTACTTAACTTTAATTAAAAAGTTTAATTTAAATAGCCACATGTGGCTAGTGATTGCCATATTAGCACCATCCCCCATTATGAAGGCCTGTGTGCCAAGGTAAGGGAGAGAATGGTCTTTTACTTGGCGATTTGATGTATTTAGACCTGGGGTTGACGGGGCTCACTCTCATCCTGGGTCCTGCAATTTTAGTGATAGTTACATGTTTTGCATGCTTCTCACCTAGTCTCTAGGGCAGTCCTCTGAGTGATTTATTACCCCTTGGGTACAGATGAGAAAAAAACATCACTTACCCAACACTGCAGAATTATCAGTGGGATTTGAGTTGGGATTTGAATGCGTGTCTGCCTGGCTTCAGGTTACTGATTATAATGGGTCTGGCCCTGAATCAGGTGTTTTCATAACTATTATTAACCTAATCCTAACCATTACCGTCAAATACAGGTCAAAGGAAGCTTGCTTACACTCACCACACATCCAAAAGTTACAAATTGCCCCCCTATTTTACAAACAAGAAAGTGGGCTCGGGGGCTGAGCAAGTTCACAGAGAAAACTGTCTGAGTCAGATTTCACACCCAAGGCTACTGAACTACAAAGCCAGTGAGTGTTTGGGGGAATATCTGAGATTATTTCTTCTCCCTTTGAGTTTAGGGGTTTCAAAGTAAGCCCACAGCATGTTGTTGAATTCTGGCTGGAAAGCAGTCTCTTCTCAAAGCTGAGTCTGATGGCTCTTGAGAGCGGCACAGTCATGTTCATTACTGTTGTGTGTGGAAAAGTTCAGTTTATCCCTCAACCAGTCTGACCAGTTTCAGGCTGCAGATCGACTGACTCCCTAAGAAGCCAGCCCAGGACATGCACAAGAGGCCTATTGCTGTCATGTGACTCGCAAGTCACCAGGAGGGGCCTCCCACCAATCCGTGGTGCTGCGCAGGTGGAGGCATCCAGAGCTTTTGTTTATAAGAAAACACACATGTGCTGGGCACTAGGTGACTTTTTAATGCACTTCATCTCATTTAATTCTTATAACCACTCTGCAAAGCACATGTTTTGCCCCTCGACAGATCAAGGAAAAGCTTACTGAGTCACGCATTTACTCATTTGTTCAGCAATTACTCCCTGAGAGCTCCGTGCCATGCACTGAATAAAATCTGGTCGCTGCGTTCATAGGGAAAGGCAGCATAAAAGAAGGAAGCAGCTCCATAAAGGAAATAATTACAGCTTGGGGCAAATACCTCGCAGACACTGCGTATCGAGTTGTTAGGGAAGGGGGATGTTCGAGTTGAGACTTGCAGGATGGGAGCAGGCCAGCCTCTGGGCCTTTGCACCTGCTTTGTCCTCTGCCTGCAGTGCTCTCGCTTCTGAGTAGAAGAATTGCCACGTGAAGGTCAGGGCCTAGTCTCTGCTTATCTCTGTGTGACCTTGGACAAGCCACTTTCCTTCTCTGGGCCTTGGTTTTGTCTTCTATAAATTGGGGAATTGAACTAAAAAAAGTATTGAGGGGCCCCTAGAGTTCAATAGGTATGAAGCAGTCAATTTTCTCCCCTTCCCAGCAAAAAGCAGCTATTGTTCAAATAGGTTTAATTATAAAAGCCCATTTTGGAAAATCTGGAAAGTAGAGAAAAGTTTGAGTAAGAAGTCAGCCGTAGCAACATTCTCCTCCGTAAACTCTGTGACGTCAGGGACTTGTGGTCTTGTTTCACATTCTCTTCCAGCGCCTACCTTCAACTCACCCCCAGTGACGGTGGCAGCAATGTGGCAGCAGAAGGAGTCATAGCGGTGATGCAGTAGTGGTATCATCAACAGCAGCTGGCATTTATCTAGCAGTTTCTGCTAACCGGGCCCTCTTTAAATCATTTGCATGGATTATTTTATGTAATCTGAACAATAATTCAGAGACAAATATGCCATTTATACAATGCATATACTGTACCTCATTATGCAGATGAAAACATTGAACTTCAGAGATGCAAAGTAACTTATCAAGGTCCTGCAACTAGTATGTGGAGAAACAGGGAGTACTAGATACTCAGTAAATATTTAATCAATTGTGTTAAATCCCTCTCCTGGGTTACAATGATGGCGCTAAGGTGCTGAACAGAGCGATCTGGTTGTAACTTGAGGCCAGGGAGTATCCTTGGTAGGTATATTTCTCCCAAGTAATTTTTATTGCATGTTTCCTTTCAGCAGTGATACATTTTTATAGAAGAAAATACTGAAAATACAGATTAGAATAGAAAAAGAAACTAAAGTCCCCGCCACGCCACTGCTCACTATGTTGTTACTGTTTGGTGTATTTTCCCCAGGCTCTCTCCAGTGCAAGCTTTTTAGCTGGCGGAGCCCAGACTGCACCTGTGACTGAGTCTGCTGCCTTTCACTCAGCATTCTATCCTGAGCATTTCCCATGTTATTATGAACTCTTTATAAACATTCTTTTAATGACGGATGCAGCCTTTCACAGGTGAATCATCCAGCATTTAAAAAGAACATTAATTTCACCTGTGAGGGATAAGGTAGCCCAGAGTAGAAAAAAAGAGCCATGGTTTTAGGGGCCCCTGTCCAACCACCTACCAGCTGTGCAACCTTGGGGGGACCACTTCATGTCACCAGTCCTCATTTTTGACTGATAATACCAATAATATAACAGCTGCTTCCTGTGAGTAATGTGAGGCCACAGCAAGATGACATGCGCAAAAGCATTCTTTAAAAAATGTATAGAGTAAAGCAAATGTTATCTCTGGACAACAAGTTTTTATTTTTCTGGAAAACTGATTCTTTCAGAATGCAGAAGTAGGCTCAGATTTAATCAAACTGGCATCTACAACAGCAAGAGCCCTTAAGGAAGAAGATGACCAAGTCTACTGCCAGCCGGAGGTGCTTTGTCAAGGTAAATGCATCCTCTATCCCTGTGCTTAGGGAAGGGCGGAATTTCATGAAGACCGCCAGGCCTCTTCACATAATACCTCCTTGCAATTCAGAAATGCTATGCGTGGACAAGGGACGAAGGGGGGGGCTCTCTGGGACACCCCAGTGAAAAGTATTGGAGACAGTTGTGCCTCGTACATCTTCAAACACCTCCCAGGAAGGCAGTGAGATGGAAATCAGCCCCAGTGACTTACACAGCTGCACTCTACAAAGGCTGTGGTGCCGACTATGGACACAGCATGTTTGGATCTCTACCTCTTCACATTCACGATTCCCTACACAGTCCGTGCTATCAGCCCCATTTCACAGAGGAGGTAACTGGGCCTCAGAAAGTTTGAGCTACACACACAATGTAAACCCCTTCAACTAGGAGTCACACCTACTAGAGCAGGGCTTCTCAGCCTGGCACTACTGATACCTGGGGCTGGTCAGTCTCTGTGGTGGGGCTGTCTTGGGCATTGTAGGGTGTTAAGCAGCATCCTGAGCCTCAACCTACCAGATGCCAATAGCACCCCCACCTTGGACTGGGACAACCAGAAACACATCCATACATTCCCAGTGTCATGTGAGGGCACCATCACCCTGACTGAGAACCACGGCCCTAAAATATAATAAGTCTGTGGGATAGGGACCATGTTTTTGTGCTCAGTGCTATCACCAACATGTACAAAAGTCTGGCTTAGCCAGGCCTGAGTTCAACACTTCAATTCATAGTGAACCGGCTTGCCCAGGATACTCAGAGAGTGGCAGGGTGTGGCTCTAGACTCAGAGCTTGCTCCCCACACTGACTGCCCCATGCCAGGTTCAGGCGTCTGGAACAGTGCCATCCTGGGAACTCTCCGAGGGTGACCTCAGATTTGCCCACTAGGACCATTTCTGTAAACAGCGTCCCATGGATCCCGCAACCAGTTCTGTGCGGCACCCAGACTCTCGGAGTTTTAAAAGTGCAAATACAGATCTGGTTTCTAATTCTTAAGGCATCAACTTCCATCTCCTCTGACCCACCATGCCATTCAGTGTGGGCAGATGGAGGCCTAAAACATTATAGTCTTATTGTTTCTGAGGAGAGAATTCCTGTCTATTGTAGCAATCTTGGGGAATACTGAAATGTATAGCTATAGATAAATCCCTCATAGTCTCTCCACCCAGGACAGCCTTTGGAAATATCCATGCAGTCTTTTCCACTGCGCATGGATTGCTTGGCACATGCCAGGCCCTCTGCTGGGAGCTGCTCAGACATCCTCTCCTCTCATCCCGGCGCCGTCATCCTGTTATCATTCACATTAAACAGGTTCCCACAGGAGGGGCCGAGCTCAGGGCCTGGCCTGCAGTGAGGGTCCCGCCAAAGGGAGCCATTATTATTAGAACAACTCTAACAGGCAGCTCCAACAGGCAACCTAACTCTAGGTTGGCACGTGTTATTCTTCTTCTGGAACTGAGGACAGGAAAGCTGAGAATAATATGGTGACATGGCTAAGGCAGGCACCAAAGCTAGGACCTGCACCCAGGTTTCTCTGACGCAGACCCCCTCAACCTCTGCATTTATACTTTGATGACTCTGTTCCATACCACATAGAATATTCTGGAATGGCTTCTTCCACCTAATGAATGTAGTCTGAGAATTTCCCCACATCTAAAGATTCTTTAAGAACATGGCTTAATAGTCATGCAGAATTTGCTGGGATGAATCACACTTTATAAATCAAGTGCCTATGGTTGGCCATTTACCATGTCAGGGTAGGGGGTCCCAGACCAGGTTTGAGGGGCCCAGGTGCATCATAGGAAGTCTCAGGCCTATGTTAGGGCCGACCGTGGTCATCTTTTTCTGATTTAAGTATGCGGGTGGTCTCTCTTCCTCTTGGCTCTTGGAAGCTCATGATTGCTCACCTGTGAGATGATACATCTTCCCATCTCAGTAGTCCACTCCCCTTCATGCCTCGCTGAGCCCGATAACCGTGTACACCTTGGGCCCTTCTCAGGAGGCATCGATGTGGCAGATGTGTCCGTCCCTGCTTCCCCTTTTCTTGGACATTTTATTTTCACCAGCACTCAGCTCCTTCTGCCTGGCACAGTTCATAAGCGGGGGACTTTCATTTTGGTACTCAGAAATTTAATTTGACACAACAGGAATATATAAATATCTGTGCATTTACATGGACAAATTTTTAAGGTTTTTTGGATTACAAAAGTAGTAAGTATAATGAAAATTTCACACAATGCAAAACTTAGGATGTACAATACAAAATATAAACCATTAAATATAGAGAAGTTATCGCCCCAGCAATGCTCCTAAGCTTTTTCTCTTCATTTTTAACATAATGGAGATGATTCTATAGTTATCCTTTTACAGTTAGTCTTATGGTAAGGATATTTTCCCATATTATTAAAATTATTTGTAAATATTATTTTATCATAGTATTATTACATGAATTCACCAGACTTACTTTAACTATTTCCCATTGACACTCCTTTCCACAGAGTCAGAAGTTTCTCTTCACTCCCACACACATGTGTGTGTGCACATGAGACTTTTTTAAAAAGAGCTTTTAAAAATTGCAAAAGCCTCTGATTTTAATCATGCAATTATTTTTGATTTCTATCTTGGATAATTAAAGATTTTTATATACTTAAAAACCTTGCTCCTGAACCTTCTAATAGAGCCAGGATAATTGTCAGAGGTTCCTTCCTTCTGCCCTATGACTGCCCTGATCCAGTCCAGGGCCTGAACCAAGTTCAGAGGTCCTGGCCTGGGAGCAGTGTTTGTGGGAAGGGTGCCAGCCAGGCACAAAGGGTGGATGCCCCCCACCCTCGGTGATAAAGGCTTCATCAGCTGTGTCATTCTCTCTAGACTTAGAACTGCCTCAGATCAACTACACTCACAATGGGAAGCGATACCGATATGTCTTTGCTGCTGAAATTCAAAGGAGTCCCATCCCAAACAAGGTACTGATCCCTAGGTGCATGGCCTACAACAGTCCTGTCTACAAAGCTGACTTCTCAGATTCTCCGACTGGGTGACCTTGATTAGAAAAGGGAGGGCAAGAGGGAGGTTCCCTAGGGGACTGGAGGTAGGTTAGAGAGTAGGTCAGTTGGGGACAAAATACATTTGAAACAGTGATGAGCCTGGAGAGGGAGCTGTACCTGATGGGCTGAAGCTCGGGAGGGTGGCCGTGGCTAGAGCTGGACTGAGTTCTTTATTCCACCCCTGTGTTCCGAGTGCCAAGGCGGTGGGCAAGGAGGGTAAGGAAGTGTATGGGGGGATTCCAGTCCCTGCCTCACCCTCTCCAGCAGGGAGGGGACAGCTGAAACTTGAAAGATTTATTTTATTTTTTAAACTACTATTTGTGGAACACTTATCCCAGGAACCATGCTAAATACTGTACAGACACTGCTTTCCCTTGATATCTTCATTTTTAACAATAAAATAGAAAGTCTTTTTTTTTTAATGTGCAGTACAGAAAGTACAAAGTAAGAAAATTAAGTGTTCCACACACACATTCACACACCACAAAACACTCCCACACCCTAAGGGAAAACAGGACTCTTGGTGATTAAGAGAAGTCCAGTGATCTATACTTTTCAAACAACAAAGGAATTGTATTATACTTTAAATGTCTGTGTTGAATACATTAGTTTATTTAACTGTCAACAAGTTGCACAGCAGGGCCACATACTAGGTAAGTTCAGGATTTTCGTTTTGAAAAGAATTCAATGCATAGTGTAAGCTATGAGGTGGCGGGAGGACCTTCGCTCCAAGTCGAAGGAGGAGGCTGGCCGCTTTCATTCTGTTGCTATCCTCACCAGAGGGAGTGCCATTTTGGGGTCTTCACTTGAGGGGCTTAATCCCCTTTCTCTGTGGGCTTTGATGCCTTCCTACTCGCAGGAAATAAGCATGCTTTCCAGCAAACCATCCCCATGTTTCTCCCCTTTGGATGTACAGATGGTCAAGTATGACATCCTCACGAAGTCCTTCCTAAAATGGGAAGAGGAGCACTACTGGCCAGCAGAACCCCTGTTCGTGCCCACGCCAGGCGCCAAAGATGAAGATGACGGTAGGCCTCTGGGCAGGGGGGCCCGCCCACTGTACTTGGCTTGTGACCTCATTCTCGCCGCAGAGACCTCACTGGGGGACAGTGGCCCTGCCCACATCCCACCGCTGGTGGAGTCATGCTTCGAAACCCAGGTCCGTGTGAATCCACAGCTACAGGGTTAGGGAGTCCCCAAGACTACACACACCCCTGACATTATCTGCAAGTTTGCTGGAGTTTCCTGTTGTCCCCACCAAACCCCCAACCTCCCTCGCCGGGAAAGGCACGGACACTCCCTTCTCCCAACACTATCGGTGGAGTACGGCCAACCCTGGAAACTCCCCTCAGCCTACGCATCAGAGCCTGTGTTGGGGCTTGTAGTCGTGGTTGACCTTTAGTCTTCAGCCCCTCTGGAGGTCAAGCTGACCACTGCTTAAAGCTCCCATCTAAGTCACTTGGCGAGGAGAGGTTACCTGACTGGCCCCAGGTAGAAGTCACCACCTAGCAGCAAAGGTCAGATCGCCCTCGAAGGGGATTAAATTGTTTACTTCCTTATTTCCTTCACTTCCACAGAAGCCCCCTTCCTTTCCCCTGAGCAACACTACCCTTTCCCAGAGTTTAGAGTCTTGGTTTTAAAATTCATTTTCATGCCTGGATTAGAGTTCTTCATTATCTAAGCATGTACCTTTTTCCGGAGCAAGTAGAAATGTGTGTTTGAGGCCCACCCGGCTCTTCTGGGTTTCCACATGACAAATGGTCCTTTCCTTCCCTGATTCTCCCTTTGACCCAGAAATGCCCTGGCTACACCCATGAGGGTGCTAAGGAGGGTAACAAGAGCCATGGGTGGGGCTGCTCTGCTGAGCCTGCCAGCTGCTTCCCTCAGGTGAGAAGGGAGTGGTTTTCTACCTACTGATTATTCCTGACTTGGTGCCAGGCAGGGGACCCCGAGTCACTGTCTTTTCTGAGGATGGGGGTTGTTGGTACCACCACCTGCTGAGGCTGGCCTTCCACTGGGCTGTGTGAGTATGTCCCGTGCATTCTCTCCATGGGCAGGGAGGAGCATTGTGTTCATTTCACCAAAGGAGAGGCTCAGAGAATGAAGTAACTTGCCCAAGGTCACACACCCAGTGCCCACAGAGGCAGGGTGTGAGCCCAAGCTAAGCTGACTTCAATTACACTCAGCCACTCTGACACCCAGGAGGCCTTGGGAAGAAGCACGAATGTTGGCTGGAAGTTTATGTGCATTATTTCATGTAACTCTATTCCTTGAGAGTGAGTGCTCAGAATGTTCCATTTCACAGATGGCGAAGCTGAGGCTGCCGCATGCTGCATGTACATGCGGTGAATCATGCTCATCCAGTCTGAGTTTAGTCGAGTGATGTGCATTAACCTAAATGCATCATCAAAACTGATTCCCTATCATCAGAGTTTCTAAGTTGTAGGGAAATAGCCATTCTTCAGTGCACTCAGTCATTTACAAAGTGCTTTTATAATTCACCATGCAAGAGATCCTCCTAGCAAGCCTAAGACGGTGGAGGATGTTATCCCCATTCTACAAAAGAAGAGACTGAGGTTCAGAGAGGTGAAGCGACTGGCCCAGCCAGGGCTGGAGCAAGTCTGCTGATTTCTAGTTCCCTGGCCTTTCTCTTCTGCTCTCACAGAATATCAAATTCATTTCCCTTCTGTTTGGATTAGATACTGACAGTTTAACGAGGACAGGGAGACACAGCTGAGAAACATATCCTCCCACCTGGAGGAAGTTCAAGGCTGCACTTTTACAAAGTGTCTCCTTTTGTTTCCCCAAAGGAATTATCTTATCAGCCATCATCTCTTCTGATCCCCAAAAGCTACCTTTTCTGCTTATTCTGGATGCCAAAAGTTTCACAGAACTGGCTCGTGCGTATGTTGATGTCGACATGCACCTGGACCTCCACGGGATGTTCATCCCAGACGCAGACTCGGGCCTGAGGAAACAGGCCCCTTCCCAGGAAGTCCAGGACGAGGCCTCGGAGCCCCACGTGGCCTCACAGACCTGACAGCCTGGACGGCCCTGCTGGCAGGCTCCCGCAGCACACAGGTGTGATCTCTCCTGTAAACCTTGTTTGAAAGTTGATCAGATATTATTAATCAGCTCTAGCACTTCTGAGAAAGACCTTTTCCTGTGAAGACCATGATTGTAAATCAGAAATTGTGTTGTCACATATTCATCGTTCTTAGAATGAGCAACCGCCGGCAGAGCAGAGACAGACGGGCGTTATCATCGCCCTTCCTCCTCCCTTTGCTCTCTTCCCTCTCTCCGTTCTTCCCAGTGGACTAGACTGTGCACCTGGGAGCTGCAGCTTTCTCAACCGTGCCCTGTTAGTAAATTATGTGGCCAGCGTTGTGGTCATTCCATGCAAGGCGTGACGTGATGTAAAATAATAAAAACTTTAAAGTCTGTTCCAACCTTATTTTATTTTTACATGGCTTCTTTCCTCTGAAGTGCTTCTAAGGCAGTAAAATACGGTGACAGAGCTAGATGGTTTTAGCAAGCTAGACGGCTCCTTGTACAACCAAAGGTTCAACAGGCAGGGGTGGGAATCCACCTTTTACAGGAGGGGGTTCAGGGTCTGGACACTGACCCAACTGGCCATAGTCGAGCAGCTGGAATGCAGGATTGAATCCCAGGCCAGGTCTTGCCTGGTGCTGAGAACAAGGGCAGCAAAGCCACACCTGTGTCTATACAGCAAAGAAGGTTCTCCCAGGTGAATGTGCTGTCAGGATAAACCAAGCATTTGGGGCAGAAGTGGAAGAAACGCAGTGGTGGGGATGGAGGAAACAAGGAGCAAGCCAAGCAGGGCCCCGTGTGAATACTGGGAGCCCCATGGACATCTGAGTCTCAGCTTTGCAGTCTTCAGGGCGGGGGCTGGTGCCTGGTAGAGGATGGGAAGGAATCTCTGACGACAGTGCATGAATACCCCGGAGGGGGCAGATGGTTTTGGCCTTTCCCCTGCAGCCCGACTTCGCTTTTACTCAAATGTAGGTACTGTGAACTTCACCATTTCCCTAAAAGGTAACATTTTAGTATAATATCATAACCACGATATCGACATCGATTCAATCCATCGACATTATTCAGATTTTCCCAGTTTTATGTGTGCTTGTGTGTGTGTAGTTCTATACCACTTTAACACATGTGTAAGTTCCTGTATCCACCTCTACCGTCATCGACACAGGATGTCTCATGTCGCTTTTTTTTATTACCACACCTGCCTCTCTCCCACCACCACCTCCCATCCCTCACCCCTGGACAACCGCCATTTCTAAAGTTTATCATCTCAGAAATGTTATATAAATGGAGTCACACGGTAATAACCTTCAGGGATTGGTTTTTTTCACGCAGCAGAATTCCCTGGAGATCGATCCACTTTGGATCGTTTTGGGGTATGTTTTATTCACTACTTTATCCTCAGCATCTAGAACACTGTCAGGCGGGTTCAGGTTCTCAATAAATGTTTGCTGAATGAATGAATTCCCTCAACTAAGAGATTCAACTCAATAACATACCAACGAGAAAGGGACATTTTGCTGAGGATATCACAGGAGGATGAGGAAGGCAGTCCACGTGGACCCCAGTGACGCACAGAAGGTGCCCACGAAGCCTCCTCTCCTGAGCCACCCCAACCCTCGTTTATCTCTTCCCCCGATGGCCCCTCAAAACCTCTCTGTCCTCCCAGAATTTCCATTTCACCCTTGGCTTACAGGGTCCCTTAAGCAAAAACCTGAACTTCACAGGTGGCAGAATGAAGACTATCCACTCTTTTTCACACTTTCCCTCAGAGGTCTCAGCACCTCTAGTCTTGACAGGGTGCATCAGGAGAGAATGTCAACGATGGTGGCCTAAGAAAAGTGTAATTGAGGTCTGCATTCAGGTGGCAGGAATGGAAAAGAGTTGTGACAAATGTGACAGTCACTCACTCATTATTCTACTTTAAATATTTGAGAAGAGGGTGGAATGAAAAACTGCTTCCCCACCTCTGTTCTACTCAATTCCAATTGCCAAACAGTACACAGACTGAATAAAAAAAAAAGGGTGCAGTTCTGCAGGGAAGAAAAATATGTCTATGGTTTGTTTACTTTGTTTAAGATGAAGGGTGAAATACCAGGCTGATGAGCAAACTTAGCACACCAAACCTTTTTTGCTCCATTTCAAAACCACTGAAGGTCGATGCCATGACACCTGATATATCTTGGTCTTTAATCCCGTCTCACTTCATGCACAGGCCAGGGTAACTAGCTCAAAATGCCACAGGGGCTAAGATGCATGCACTGTTCTTGAAGGCACCACAAGACAGTCCATCCTGTCCCTGAGGCTTGTGATGCTTCATGTGGGTGGAATACGTGACCGGGAAGTTCTGCAGGAAGGATCACTCCAGGTTTGTTTACTTCTTTGATAAAGCCACAGCCTTTCACAAGTGCTCTGAGATGTAAGGGTTAGGTCCACGGTAAGCTTTCAAATGTTTGCTGACACACTACCTTTTTCCTTCAAGGGTCTCACTAAGTTGATTTCAATTCAGCAATAAGCTGCATCTATATACCTGGACAAATCAACTCACAAAAAATCTAAGTGCATTCAAGCTGCATCAGCATTAGTGGTTCATGTTCATTTCCTTCCAACCAATATTACCGAGCGTCGGGCCGACTCCATTAAGAAGGTTGCCAGTCCAGGTTAAATACAAGCACCTTTGATCACTTCCTAAGTTGTTTTAAGACTGCTTGAGTGGTTTTTAAATGAGAAGTCTTTCCCATGGCAAACCAGGACATGCACAGAGAAAAGTCATCCCCACCGTCCTCATCATCCAACAAGGTGAGCTCTGTGGCCTCTCAACACCAGCTTCCTTCTGGGAGTTTAGACCCAGCAGCCGGTGCAGATGCACAGGTGCCCAATGGCAGCAGCTGCTGGGCTCCATCGGGAAACAGTCTCTTGAGGTCAAGCACCAGCCAAGAAGCTGGAGATTTTCTTGGACAAGTCAAACAAAGAGAGATGAGGAGGCACTGTGGTGAGCCAGCCTTTTCTCCTTGTGATTAGGAAAGGCTTCCAGGAAGTGTGTCCCTTCAGGAGCTGCCTGAGTGGCCGGAGGGGGCACCTGGGAAGGTGCTGGTCCTTGTAGGCTTAGAGTGCTACTCAGGGGGAGGTTGGAGGTGAATGCGGGTTAATGGAACAAGCAGGTGCAGAGTGAATTCCCCAAGAAAAAGCAGTGGAAAGAGTGAGAGAATAGGGGTATCCCCCCCCCATTATCAAAGTCATATATGTTCATTGTAGAACGCCTGGGTACATTTTTAAAAAGAAATGAGAAAGATGCCATTCTGGTGTGAGATTTTTCCCCCCAGTTTTTATCTTTTTTCTATGCAGTTTACATATTAGCAATCACTTTATAACCTACCCCCCACCCAGTTTATAACCTGCTCTTTTACACTTAATGTATGCTACACACGTGTTCTCAGGATGCTGTATTTTCTAATGGGTGCTCATTACTTCACCTTCAGGACATGGCAGGGTGTGCACTACTGTACCTTTGGACACTGGAGTTGTTTGCCGTTTCTGCCTGTAACAAATAATGCCAGCTCCGTAGCTCTGCACAGGTTTCTAGAGCTCGGCCCTCTGCCCCACTCTGTATTCAGGTGTTGGTCCTGCGTTCCCAGCTTAGGACTTCTGAGCCAAACATAGAAAAACAAGGTTTGGGGTGTTTTGAAAGGGCAAGGATTTGGCTTGATTCATAGGAAACAGAGAAACCATTCTAGAATCTGAGAGGCTCAAATGGTCAAGTGGCTATAGGGCTGAGAAACCCGTATTTGTCAGGAAACAGAAAAAATCGGTTGAGGCTAATATCACTTTAGTCCAAATCTCCCCTTCTTCCATTTCCTTATTGTTTCTCACCCCTGTATCTTTCCACTCCATACATGTTCTTTTTCAGGCATATATTTCCTTCCTTCCTTCCTTCCTTCCTTCCTTCCTTCCTTCCTTCCTTCCTTCCTTCCTTCCTTCCTTCCTTCCTTCCTTCCTTCCTTCCTTCCTTCTGTGATAACTAAGACTACATTGGCATGTAATGGGGAGGAAAACCAGTATCTCAATTGTCCTCAGGAGTGAATAGCACAGTACAGGACATAGCACCAAGGAAGCAAACAATTCAGTGGAATGGGGGTAAGAAAATGCTGTTCTGGGGGCCAGGGTGGCTGATATGTAAGAAATAGCAGCAGGAACTAGGTGAAATGGGTGATTGGAGCGAAAGGGGCAATGGCTGGACCTGGAATCAGGGGACAACATGGGAAGCTTGGAAAACCTGAACTGTGGGGCAAAAGGTGGGCCCTAGAAAAGACAAGTTTCAACCAGATCTCCAAATTTATCTATACCCAGGTAACATGGAATTTGCATTCACTAAAGAGAAATCTCCAATGGCTTCTTCAAGGACAGTCACTTTTAAAAATAATACCTTTTTTGAGATCTAATTCACATACTACAAAATCCACTTATTTAATGTATACAATTCAATGGTTTTAGTATATTCAAAATTGTGTACATATTACCACTAATTTTAGAATATTTTTGTCATTTCCCGAAAGGAACCCTGTACCTATTACCAGTCACCCCTTATTCTCAAGCCCTCCTCCCCAGTTCTAGGCAACCACAAATCTACTCTCTACTTCATATGGATTTGCCTATATTAGACATTTCATATACATTGAGTCAGACAATGTGTGGGATTTTTTGGGACTGGCTTCTTTCACTTAGCATAATGTTTTCAAGTTTCATCTATGTCATTGCATGAGTTAGTACTTCATTCCTTTTGTGGCTAAATAACATTCCATTGTATGAATACAGCACATTTTGTTTACCCATTCATCAGCTGTCAGATATCTGGGTTGTTTCCTCTTTTGGGCTGTCATGAATAGAGCTGCTGTGAGCATTCATTTGTGTGCAAAGTGTTTATGTGAACATATGTTTTCATTTCTCTTGAGTATATTCCTGGGAGTGAAATTGTATCATATGGTAACTCCATGTTTAACATTTTGAGAAGCTCCCAAACCATTTTTCAGAGTGGCAGAACCATTTTACAGTTTACCAGCAATATATGGGAGTTGTGTTCTGTCCATACCCTTCCTGGTTGGTTATCGTCTGCTGTTTTTATCTTGGTCATCTTCAGTACAGTGAGGTGGTATCTCCCTGTGATTCCGACTTGTGCTTCCCTAATAAATGATAATGCTGAACATCTTCCCATGTGTTTATCAGTCACTTGTATACTGTCTTTGGGAAAATATCTACTCAAATCTTTTGCCATTTTTAGCCTGGGCTATTTGCCTTTTTATTGTTGAATTGTAAGAGTTCTTTATATATTGTGGATTTAGGTCCCTTATAAATATATGATTTGCAATAGTTTTACCTATTCTGTGGGTAGTCTTTTC